AAGCGATGGAAAGATTTGCTTACAATTAATTTCATGACTCGAACCAAACACCAAAAAGCTTTCATTACATTGCCGTCCATTACGTATAGTAAAGGCGACGCCAAGTCTGACATACCTTTCAATAAAAGAATATAAGTTTTTATCAGATATTATGTAAAAATATTATTTCAAAAACACAAACAACAAAAGGGTTTTAAAACTATTCAATTCAATGGGTAATTAAAATCACTTTTTATTACAAATCATAAAAGTTTGTAAAAAAAAGTAGTGAAAAACACCAAAAATTGAGTGATTGAGTGATGACCCAAAGGAAGGGCTGAACACTATTGGAATGCTATTCAACCAACAAAAAACATGAATTCATTAAAAAAAACACATAAGAAACGCAAAATTTGCATTCAATTAATTATACATTCTTTTAAAACTCTAGTTTAAGACATATAACGCCTCTCCCAGTCATCGCTTGATTTGATTTTATATTTTAATTAAACAACAAAAAACATACACAACAAAAGACAAACTGACAAAAAACCAGGAAAAAACATATAAACAATGAATACCCTGAACATAGCCGGTGTCGAAATCATACATAGTGTATGTCAAGAGCACAGCCCTTAACTTTTCGAGATTGTCTGACTCGCCCGCATAGAACCGATGCGATCGATCGCATCGAATCACATCCCGCTCTAAAGACAACACAACAAAAGCAATTAGTTTTCAATTCAATATATCAATTGTGTTGCAAATTCAATACCAATTAATGATTTCCTCTCGCGATAGGCTGTAAACCTCAACTCCTGATCCGCTAGTATTGAGTTCCACTGCGAGTGGTATTTGTCGTACAAATCGGACAACTCTTGCCAATCAAACTCGTCGGCGCTTTCGGTTAAGCCCAACACCAATGGCCACATTCGCTGCCGAAACTCATTGTCGCTTAAGCCCTGCAAACAGAGACCAAACAATTAAATTAACAAATATTGTTCTCTTAAAACATTCATTAAAACACTAACGCCTCGAAAAATGCGTTCAATGATCTGATCAATAGACAGTTCCCCGGATTTCTCTTCAAACTCTTGCAAACTAAGCGGCAAAACCCTGTACTGCGGTTCAGTGCAGGGAATGGCCGGCAGTGCCGGTGGCGGAAGGGGTACTGTATTGACAACATTGAAGTTATTGGATGTGGTCATCGGATCGATGACTGTGTGCTCGTTAACTGTGGACTCTTCGTGGGGTTGAGGAGATCCGCGGCGTTTGACTCGTTCGGCATTTCCGGGCGGTCTTAACAAACTCAGCGATGGGATGGACGAGAGGTACTCTTCGTCGTAAAACGTAGGACTCGTCACATAATTAGTGACTTTACTGAAAGAGTTGAGTGAAGTGGCGATCGGATCCTTCAGGAACTTCGACATAAAGGGTGCGAAAGTGTGCGACGAGTGCGAAGACTTGGGCGGCGGGGCGTATGGGTTGGCGGCGCTGTCGTCGGCCACCAATCGGTTGGGCCGGTAGTGATCTGTGGGTCGCGACAGTTGGCGCTGAAATGTGATAAACTCGTGCATCTCTTCGGCGACCGTAGGCTCCTCTGCGCCGCCACTTACGCCCCGATTGGCCGTTGAGGTCACGAATCGTACCGTTTCTGACATAACGCGGTCAACAGCTCTTGTGATTGTCTTCTTCGGCGATGATTGCGGTTAAAAACAATGGCAACGATATATCGATCGCTTTCGCGGTAGAAAAATAACGATCACTTTATATGTAATGCAAAATGTATTATCAAAATGACATTTAAAAGCATTAATAAATGGGCGAAAAAAACTGCAATGATTTTGCGTTCAAAAGCCAAACAATACAACAGGTCTTGAGGTGTGTATTGTCTTCACTGATGGTGTCTTCGCGTGGAAACAGATGTGAAACACAGGGAAAACCAATCGATAAAATAGATGTTATAAATAGATCTGTATTTGTCTTTCGTTTTGTCTTTCAATTGTGTTTTAAAGCCATTCATCGGAAAAAAGTAAACAAAATATGATTTCATAAGCATTTGTCAACATTTCATATGACGTTCACTGCATTGCACTCTATTGCACATCAAATAGAGTGACCAACTGTTTAAACGCTATGCACACACTTTCATACAGCAAAATCACACGCGTTTGCATTGCAAATTGATCACGATCATAATATTGAGCTCAATTAACACCCAATTACACCAATATATAATGCATTGCAAAACGACCAAGGTATAATTGTGTGGCACCTAGAAAAATGTGGTGACTCTACATTTTAAATGAAGTCCTGGTATTTTAATTTGAAATGTAAACATAAGTGCGATCTTTTCATTACAGTTGTGTAACACATGTGTCACGCAATACAGGCCTAACTCATAGGCCATCAATGATTAGAGTTAACGCCTTTTGCTAAACACTAATTCACTTATCGATCGAAAGACACGAATGAATGGCGAGTAGAGAGACATCTATTGACACGCGATTCAACTCGCGTTCAACGCTGTGTTAAACGCACACAATATTTATAGCGTAAACAGCGCTGAAAATATGGTCCCTTTCTATACATGAATGCATACGTAAAGTACAGTACGATTGTATAGGAAAAGGGACTATAGATGTAGTGAATGGTTATCGTTATTACGCGATAGTGTTGTCAATTGGTTGAGTGTTTGCCGCATTTGAGACACAACTGTGACTCGAGTTCTTCGCAGAAGTGTTTGTTTTGTGTCTACTTTTGTCTACACTTTGTTGTCAACTATTGTTTTGCTTTCGACATCACATTCGCAGTCATTGTCATCACATCCTCACCATTAGATCCAAAGCACTCTTCGCGCGCACAACACATCCGTTGACTCATTCACACGATTCAGTCTTCCAAACGATTGCCACAAAACAGACCAATACTGACGACGCGAGCGAAGNAGTGTTTTATCCATCAATTATTCACTACTTTTTACTACATTTTTCTCATCTCTACTATAAATATCGGTCTGAAAACTGTTGTCAATTCTCGATAGATATTAAATCAGTCAAAAATCATAGCAAACGAAAGCAATACATGATATATCGGATAATTATATCTTCACATAAAGTAATCATCATTTTTCGATGTCTCAGAAAAGAGTCCATAATTTCGTTTAAAAGTTAAAAATAATTCATAAAAACAAACAATTATAAGAAAAGAAAGAAAAAGTCTGATTATATATAACTCATTACAAAAAGTATTAATTAATAATTAATTGATTACTAAATCAACTTCGAGTCCGAGATATATAGAGAAAAGAGAGAAAACAATAACTCTAAAAAAATTAAAATCCAAAATAAAAGGCGAAGACTTCTAAGCGGTTCTGAGAATGATATGAACGCCGGAATCGGTTTCCACCAAATCAGACATCTGTCCGACTTTGAGGCCAAAGGCCGAGTCCTCGAAGGGCTTCTGCATCGCTCCGCGCGTGAAATAACCCAAATCTCCGCCCTTTTTGGCCGACGAGCAGTCGGACACCTCCTGAGCCAACTCCTCGATCGTCGTCTCTCCCGAGTCTATCTGTTGTCTGTATTCGTTCACCAGTTCTATGGCCTCGTCTTTACTCCGTGTGATCTTCTCCTCTCTCCACGAAGACGGCCGACGACTCTCGCAGTGTTTCACCAATAGGTGAGAGCAGCGGATCTTCTCGTTGTCTTTGGCGTTGGCCTCAGCGGTCGGACGATCCCATTGGCTCTCTTTGGTGTACACATTGAGGTAATAGACCTGTCCTGTGGACCGACTGATCCGCTTCTCCCACCCCTTAGGCAAGTCTTCGCCGTTGTCTTCGCTTTCCATCACCGCTTGATATGAGACGAGTTTTGGTGACAATCAATGGATTGATTTGATTCTTGTTATGGTTTATGGCATTCAACGCAATGGAGAGCACGAGATATGCGCCAACACTTCGCTCGCGTCGTCAGTATTGGTCTGTTTTGTGGCAATCGTTTGGAAGACTGAATCGTGTGAATGAGTCAACGGATGTGTTGTGCGCGCGAAGAGTGCTTTGGATCTAATGGTGAGGATGTGATGACAATGACTGCGAATGTGATGTCGAAAGCAAAACAATAGTTGACAACAAAGTGTAGACAAAACAAACACTTCTGCGAAGAACTCGAGTCACAGTTGTGTCTCAAATGCGGCAAACACTCAACCAATTGACAACACTATCGCGTAATAACGATAACCATTCACTACATCTATAGTCCCTTTTCCTATACAATCGTACTGTACTTTACGTATGCATTCGTGTATAGAAAGGGACCATATCTTCAACGCTGTTTACGCTATAAATATTGTGTGCGTTTAACACAGCGTTGAACGTGAGTTGAATCGCGTGTCAATAGATGTCTCTCTACTCGCCATTCATTCGTGTCTTTCGATCGATAAGTGAATTAGTGTTTAGCAAAAGGCGTTAACTCTAATCATTGATGGCCTATGAGTTAGGCCTGTATTGCGTGACACATGTGTTACACAACTGTAATGAAAAGATCGCACTTATGTTTACATTTCAAATTAAAATACCAGGACTTCATTTAAAATGTAGAGTCACCACATTTTTCTAGGTGCCACACAATTATACCTTGGTCGTTTTGCAATGCATTATATATTGGTGTAATTGGGTGTTAATTGAGCTCAATATTATGATCGTGATCAATTTGCAATGCAAACGCGTGTGATTTTGCTGTATGAAAGTGTGTGCATAGCGTTTAAACAGTTGGTCACTCTATTTGATGTGCAATAGAGTGCAATGCAGTGAACGTCATATGAAATGTTGACAAATGCTTATGAAATCATATTTTGTTTACTTTTTTCCGATGAATGGCTTTAAAACACAATTGAAAGACAAAACGAAAGACAAATACAGATCTATTTATAACATCTATTTTATCGATTGGTTTTCCCTGTGTTTCACATCTGTTTCCACGCGAAGACACCATCAGTGAAGACAATACACACCTCAAGACCTGTTGTATTGTTTGGCTTTTGAACGCAAAATCATTGCAGTTTTTTTCGCCCATTTATTAATGCTTTTAAATGTCATTTTGATAATACATTTTGCATTACATATAAAGTGATCGTTATTTTTCTACCGCGAAAGCGATCGATATATCGTTGCCATTGTTTTTAACCGCAATCATCGCCGAAGAAGACAATCACAAGAGCTGTTGACCGCGTTATGTCAGAAACGGTACGATTCGTGACCTCAACGGCCAATCGGGGCGTAAGTGGCGGCGCAGAGGAGCCTACGGTCGCCGAAGAGATGCACGAGTTTATCACATTTCAGCGCCAACTGTCGCGACCCACAGACCACTACC